TGGAAGGTCACACCAAGCGGGTGGGCATCGTGGCCTGGCACCCCACAGCTCAGAATGTACTACTCAGCGCAGGTGCTGTAAGGGTGCGGAGGGGAGGGCTGGGGGCCTGACGGGGGCACATGCTCACAGTTCCACGCTGGACAATTGTGCAGGTTGTGACAATGTGATCCTGGTGTGGGATGTGGGCACTGGGGAAGCTGTGCTGACACTGGGTCCCGATGTGCACCCGGACACGATCTACAGTGTGGACTGGAGCCGGGACGGCGGTCTCATCTGTACCTCCTGCCGCGACAAGCGTGTTCGCGTCATTGAGCCTCGGAAAGGCACTGTGGTGGCTGTAAGTTGCCATGAACCTTAAACCCTGGCCCCAGGATGTTGCTCTCCCCACACCCACTGAGGTTCTAGTCTCTTGGTGAGACTAAGAGAAGCTGACTGACAACATTGCTTGCCTCTCAGGAAAAGGACCGTCCTCATGAGGGAACTCGGCCAGTGCACGCAGTGTTTGTATCAGAAGGGAAGATCCTAACCACGGGTTTCAGCCGCATGAGTGAGCGGCAGGTGGCGCTGTGGGACACAGTGAGTACTGAGAAATGGGACCCTTTAGACTGGAGCCAAGGCCGGAGGGAGACTAAGTCACTACTTACCACATGACCATGGCCTCAGTTTACCTATTAGATGGGAAGTTTCCACTGCTTAGTCTGAGGGCCCTTGACTGCTTGCTGTCTAGTGAAGACCTGACATGGCTCAGCCTTGCTGCCCTCCCCTGTCTCTACAGAAGCACCTAGAAGAGCCACTGTCCCTGCAGGAGCTGGACACAAGCAGCGGAGTTCTGCTGCCTTTTTTTGACCCTGACACCAACATTGTCTACCTCTGTGGCAAGGTGACTCAGTCAGGAGGGCTGGGGGCAGGGAAGTGGGTAAGTGAGCACAAAGGCTGGTGGCCTGTGCTGGCACTGACTCTCTTGCCTGTACCACCTACAGGGTGACAGCTCTATCCGGTATTTTGAGATCACTTCTGAGGCTCCGTTCCTGCACTATCTTTCCATGTTCAGTTCCAAGGAGTCCCAGCGTGGTATGGGCTACATGCCCAAACGTGGCCTGGAAGTGAATAAGTGTGAGATTGCCAGGTGAGTGCCCCGATTCTGACCAGACCTTCAGTGCCCACTCCTGCTGTACAGTGCCGCTCACCTTCCTGTTTCCGCAGGTTCTACAAGCTTCATGAGCGGAAATGTGAGCCCATCGCCATGACAGTGCCTAGAAAGGTGATGTTCCTATGCTTCTCCCCAGGCTAGGGTAGGAACTGACCCCGGGGGCTTGTACGGAGGGGCAGGAATATAAACACTCTCGTGACCATCTCTGGCCTTGCCCACAGTCGGACCTGTTCCAGGAGGACCTGTATCCACCCACTGCAGGACCAGACCCTGCCCTCACAGCTGAGGAGTGGCTGGGTGGCCGGGATGCTGGCCCCATTCTCATCTCCCTCAAGGATGGCTATGTGCCCCCAAAGAGCCGGGAGCTGAGAGTCAACAGGGGCTTGGACAGCGTACGCAAGAGAGCCACACCAGAGGCCAGTGGCGCTCCCAGCTCGGTAGGGCTGGTGGGGAGCTGGGGAGCTGGGGCAGGAAGATAGATTAGGGCAAAGGCTGCATGGGTGTGATCAATGTCTCATCGGGAAAGATGTATTTGTCGGGATGTCTGAGCTCCTAATGGCGGGAGATTCTGGGAGGACAAGGAGTAGGTGACCCCGTGGCCTTAGAAATCAAATGCATTGATTGATTCGAGTAGTAGCTGCTGGGACCAAAGGACCCAAGCTTTGGGGTTCTTAGAAAGGCTAGCTGATGTCAGAGGAAGGGAATATATGGAAAAGCGGGGTCTAATGCAGTGCTGGCTCCCCCAGGACACTGTGTCGCGGCTGGAGGAAGAGATGAGGAACCTGCAGGCCACGGTACAAGAGCTACAGAAGCGCATGGACAGGCTGGAGGAGACTGTTCAGGCCAAGTAGAGCACCCCAGAGCCTTCAGCGGGGCCAGCCATTCACTCTGCTCCCACCCCACCCTCAGGCCATATGGTGAATAAGACGAAAATAATAAAATGGCTTTATTTTCTGGTACCTCTCAGACTCTGGTGAACTGACCATCCCACGGCTTCCCCTTGATGGTTCTGAATGCACTATCCCCACTCAGGGTTGCAGGTCATTTCCAAATGCACTGTAGCAAATGAATGGGGCCTTGGATGGAAGGGTACCCAGTGATGGAGCTGAGAGCTGTTCTGCTTCCTAGCATCCAAATCCCTATCTTAGGGCCCCAGATTTCCCTTATCCACCCAAGTCTTTTCTTGTGTTTTCTATGGCAGTGCTGGGGACCAAAGCTATGACCATTCACATGTGAGGCAAGCTCTCTACCACTCTAGCTATGCCCCTAGCCCTGAGCCCAAATTAGCATTTCCTGGTTAACTCGCACACAAACTGTATACAATTGTACTGACACCGGTGCTTATGGCGAAACCAACCAGCACATGATGACATTTTTCAAACTATAGACTCAACAAAAACAAGACTTCTGATCAGACCCGACTCACACCTGTAATCCAAACCCTTGGGAGACTGAGCAACTGCTGGGGGTTTCAAGCCAGAAACTCAGTTGAGAGTGGTGATAAATTGAGATACGGCCTCAAAAAAACCAAACCAAACCAAACCAGAAATGGAGCTTGGGATGTTCCCTGGTTAACAGCATGTGCCAGGTCCTGGGTTTGATCCCCAGCACTGCAGAAACCAGGTGTGGAAACCCACACCTGTAATCTCAGCACTTGGGAGGTATGGCAGGAGGATCAGAAGTCCAAAGACAGCCTAAGATGGAGACCCTGTCTCAAAACAACTGCAATAAGATAACAATAACAACAACAACAAGAAAAGGCCGGAAAGGTGACTTAGTGGGTTAGTGTTTGCTCTGCGATCATGAGGGATGCTAACCAAATCCCAGCACCCACGTAACAGCATGGGTGTTCCCACAAACGCCTGTAACCCCAATAGGTCTGATGTGGATAGAGACAGGACTGTGGGGCTGCTGGCTTCCAGCCTAACAGAGATACAAGCACCAGTTTCAGGGAGAGAGCCTGCCTCAAAGGAATAAGTAGAAAGTGACAAAAGACATCTGACATCCTCTTCTGACCTCCATTCACGTGTACAGGCATGTACACGTGTACATATACACTCATGTATACCTGCATACACACACATTACTACATACACGTAAGTAAAAATGACTCTTGTGCTAGAGATGTAGCTCAGCAAGGAATAGCACTTGTGGCCCTTTCAGAGGACCAGAGTTCAGGTCCCAACATCTGCATCAGGCGGCCCACAACCACTTGCAACTCCAGCTTCATGAAACTTGACGCCCTTTGCAAGCAACTACAGGCAAATCCACAGAGACAAATAAGCCAGATGTGGTGAGCTGTGCTTTTAGCTGTGGTGGCAGAGGCAAGCAGATCTCTGAGTTCCAGGACAGCCAGGGCTACACTGAGAGACCCCCATCTCAAACACACACACACACACAAACACACAAACACACACACATACAACTACCCAACAAAACAAAGACAAAATCCCATAAAGGCAAAGCTGAGAAACCAGGAAAGAGCCTGACCCTGGACTAAAACACAGAGACCAGTGCTGGCTGAAGGGCAGCTCTGGGGTTCCAGTTTAAGAAACCCCCTTCCATTCACAACATTCTGCTGCCTTGGAGCGGACCTGGAGTCTGAGGAAGACAGGGAAGAACAGATCTCTTATACCCTGTCATAGGAGGGAGTGCTTGTTTTTGTGTGTTTTTGACTGTCTCATACAGCCAGGATGGTCTTGAACTCCTAACTCTTCTGCTTCTACCTCTCAAGTGCTATTTTAAGAGTGCATCACGATACCTGGTTTATGTGGCCCTGAGGATTAAACCTAGGGCTTCACATGTGCTAGGCAAGCACTCCACCAACAGCTATATCCTCAGCATGGGAGTGGCTTTTGGTGCCTAATGGATGGGAGATTCCAGAGCTGGAATGATATAGAGGGGCTCGGGAGGGTATCATGGCTGTCCCAAGGTTGAAATCATATAGTTCAGAGAATACCCAGGACCCCACCCCCAGCCCTTTCCTCTTCAGCATGCCACAGAACTATCTGGATATAGAGAACAGCACACAAACAGGCCTGCCTGCCAAGCTGTGTTTCACCCTCTGGCAGGACATGTGATCCTGGGCAAGTCCCTTCTCCCCTATAAACTGCAGGAGGGCTATCACTGGGGAAGGAAGGGGTCACTCCTCTAGAGATACAGGCTAGGCATCTTTCCTGTGACTGAATCACTGCCTCTCCAGAGGAAGAAAAAACGTTCAGGAAATGATCCTGGGGATGGAGAAGGTCTGACCAGCGACGACTATGACTCCAGTTGGACCAGTTTCTTTGATGGAAGAATGAGAAGGCGGAGGTAACTGAGCGCTAAGTGTCAGAGACAGGCCTAGACACTATGGAGAGGAACTGAGTGTGGTGACAGACATCTGTAGTCATGGCTGCACAAAGACTGAGGCGAGAGGACCATCTGAGCTCACGAATCTAAGAACAGTCTGGAAAACACATTGAGAGCCCATCTCAAAGACAAAACCAAATAAGATTAGATGTGGAGGAGCTGGATTGAATACCATGTCCCCTGAGGCCTGAAAAAGAGACTGAAAGCATGACAGGAATCGTGTATCTTGTCTCTCTCTTTCTGATACCTATCCAGGAGCCTGGAGAGGAGATGGTGAGAAAAGGCTGAGGGCTTCTGGTCCTGGACGGTTGGCAGAGCAGGAACACCCTGCTTTCTGAGGGCGGACCTTGGTGACAGTACAGAGACCACACGGGTAGACAGACAACCTTGGCGGAGACTAAAGGCCAGGACAAGGCCAAAACAATGATGGAGGAGGGGGAGGGGAAAGCCAAGTACCTGACTCAGCCTCAGAGACCTCAAACAGCACACTGACACCAAATGGACCTGATTTACAATTTAATGGCTGTTCAGGCTCGGGTCCCTCATTTCGGCCGCTCTCGGGTCCACTGTTCTGGGGTCAGAGTTTTCTGCTCAAAGGCATGGATGTGCGGGAGCTCTTCTGCTAGGCATTCATTCACCAGCCTGGGCGAGAGATGGGAATGAGAAATGTCCGCCCTCGGCTGGGGTGGTGGGCTCCGAGGCGAGCATGATTAGGGAGATTGGAGAAGTCTCCAGGAAGTGGGGATTGGAGGAGAGGACGGATGCCCAACCACAAAGGCAGGCGCACCCTCGGGTTATGGACCACATCGCGGGGCTTGGGGGTGAGTTAGTCCCCACCCGAGCGGTCAGAGACCGGGGTTCACGCCCCGAGCCCAAAGAGCTGGGCGAGGGGCTCCCAGGGGCTCACCGGTGTCTCTGGAGTAATGGCTTTCCCTCGAACTTAGCGGACACCACCAGGACTCGGAAGCTGGTCGCGCAACGGTTCAGAGTCGTGTCCTCCACCTCCTAGCCGGCAGAAGACCCGGACGATGGGCGCTTGCACTGGAACCCTTCCCCGTCGCCCGAGTCCCCGTCCCCGCACTCACCACATGCTCTGCCTCCAGGTCCCGCCGCAGCTTCTCGCGGAGGAAGTCTGCGCTGAGTTCCATGGCCACAGCCCGGCGGGGGAACAGGCAGGCGTGCCCAGAGCCCCGCCTTCCGCCCTCACCGAAGCCACTTCCTCCCACGCCGCTCTCTTCCGCCCTTCCTGAGGCGGTCTGGAAGGCAGCACTTCCGTCTCCTGGCACAGGTGAAGTCGCAACGCTTGGGAGGCTCCGCCCCAGCAGTTAGCCAATCGGAGCCGGGCTGGAGGGCCGCGGGAGCTGAGGCCGCGCTTGCACATCCTCCTCCTGCCAGCAGGCGGCGCACCAAACGGCGCTGCCGGGTTTCCAGCGCGCTGGACGGTCACCCTCGAGTGCTTTTTCCTAAACAAACGTTTTGCAGTCCTGGCTACCCAGCCCTTTCCGAGGTCCGAGGTCCCAGGTCCCAGAAACCACCCCCCACTTCGGACCTCCAACCCAGAAAGTTCCGATGGGACATACAGCAAGACCGGGGCGCTTCTACGGTGTCTACCTGCTCTACTGCCAGAACCCTCGGCATCGGGGCCGCGTGTACGTGGGATTCACTGTCAATCCTGCTCGTCGCGTCCGGCAACACAACGCCGGTCGCAAAAAAGGTGGCGCCTGGCGGACCAGCGGGCGAGGACCCTGGTAAGAGCGCGCCGGAGTCTTGCCGGAAGGCTCCGGATTGAAGGCGGGCCGCCTGAACAGAAGCCCGAAGACAGAGGCGGGGCCATTTCTGTGATCGCGGGCGGTGCTGAGTCCCTGGCCTGTCACCCGGGCGAGCATAGCGGGAGGGCGGCACCTTGTGGACTCTGTGAACGCTGGGTTAAGATTTGGGATGGTTAATTGGGGAACGAGATCAGAAGCTAAGGGGTGGTCTGTAACTCCAGTACCAGGGTATGGAACGCCCTCTTCTGACCTCTGCATCCACCAGGTACGCACGTGGTGCACATACATAAATACATACATACAGGCAAAGACACTCATATACATAAAATATTAAAATAAATTCCAAGAAAAAATTAAATACAAAAGATAAGTTATGGAGTCAGCCAAAGTGCTTGTCTTAGGGTTACTATTGCTGTAATGAAACACCATGATCCAAAAGCTTATTGGGGAGGACAGCATTTATTTGGCTTACTCTCCCAAGCACTGTTCATCATTGGAGGAAGTCAGGACAAATAAGAAAGAGCTGATGCAGAGGCCGTGAACCTAGGACCACCAACCTAGGGATGGCACCACCCACAAAATCTAGGCCCTCCCACATCAATCACTAACTAATAAAATGCTCTACAGGCTTGCATACAGCTCGATCTTATGGAGGAATTTTCTCAGTTGAGACTCCCTCTTCTCTGATGACTACACCTGTGTCAAGTTGACATAAAACTATCCAGCACAGGCCCATTAACAGGTGAGTGGGAGAAGAAAATGTGACATATACAAGGTGTAGTTTTAAAAAACCGGTTGATTATTTGATTCATAATGAGCGTTTTGCCTTCATTTTAAGTGTAACATATTCATGCAGTGCCCGCAGAGGTCAGGAGAGGGCGCCAGATCCCCTGGATTGGGAGTTACAGACAGTTCAGAGCCCAGGTCCTCTGCCGGAGCAACTGCTCCTAACTGAACCACCTCTCCAGCCCCCAAAGGCAATTTGACTCAGCCATAGTGGTAAATGAAATTATACCCCTTGAAAGAAAGTGGATGGAACTGGACAGCACCGTGTTAAGTTATATAACAATATCTCAGCTTTTTTCCCATGCGGAATTTAAAGAAAAAGTTATGAAAGTAGGAAGGTAACTATTTGGAATGAGGAAGAAGGCCCAAAGTGGGGAAGTGGTTATAATAAGTAATGTCAGAATACATTACATAAATAGGAGAATGTCAATGCAACTGTTACTTTGTGTAGTAAATATACACCAGTAAAAATTGTTTTAAAGACTGGAATCAGGAAAAACAAAACAAAATAAAAAGACCGGGTGGTGGTAGTGCACGCTTTTAATCTCAGCAATTGGAAGGCAGAGGGTGGATCTCTGTGAGTTCGAGGTTAGCCTGGTTGCAGAGCAACTTCTAGGACAGCCAGGGTTACACAGAGAAGCCCTGTCTTGGGGGTGGGAGTGGGGGAGACTGGAATCAAGGGCGGTGGTCAGCAAGGCTGAGACCAGAATACTACTACTTAGAAAGGTCAGGAATCAAGGACTGGATGAGGAGCCTGAGCTTGGCAGGTGCAGGTGCGTGGGATTTACATCTCCATGTAAGGTTCGAGCCCTAATGACCAGGTGTGAAGTGATGTGAACTGGAACACAGGCCTGGAGTGGGGGTGCGGGATTCAGCTGCTAGCCGGATTGACGTAGAATGGGGACTCATTCATTGGCTTTGCCTTCTCCTCCCAAGGGACATGGTGCTGATCCTGCACGGTTTTCCGTCTGCTGTAGCCGCCCTTCGGGTAAGAAAGGTGTCTTAAGGACGGGCTGGCCTGGGGCTTAGAGTTTGTCTAGAGGACCTTATCCAGGACCGCCCTGACTTTGTCGTCTGTGTCCCTTCCTATAGTTTGAATGGGCCTGGCAGCATCCTCAAGCCTCACGCCGCCTGACTCATGTGGGGCCGCGCCTGCGCAGCGAAGCATCCTTTGCCTTCCACCTGCGTGTGTTAGCACACATGCTCCGAGTTCCTCCGTGGGTGCGCCTCCCTCTAACACTGCGCTGGCTGCGACCTGACTTCCGCCATGAACTTTCTCCAGTGCCACCACCACACATGCCCATTGCCTTTGGGCCAGCACCACCCCAGCCCTTGGTCCCGAAGCGACTCACTGCAAGTGAGACTGACAGCGAGCACCAGCTGGATGGAGGCGCCAAGGGCAGCTGCATGCTGTGTGCACGTATGCTGCAGGTAGGGGCACATCGGGGCTGAGACACCAGAGTTTGCCCACCATGACCCAGTCTAATGAGGACGATGGTACTTTCGGCTGTTTCCTGGCCCATCAGTATCTACCACGGGCCATTAGCACCTCTGACTGGGCAACCAGACACCATGTAGATCTTTCCTGGCCTCCTGAAGTCATTTTATGTGCTTCCTGCTTTTTCCGTCTCTTTCTTGTCTCACAAGCTCACTCTTGGTTACTTCAAGTTCCTCCCTTATCTCCTCCTTACTGGCATCTCTGACAGGATGAAGAAGGCCCCCTTTGCTGCCCCCACCCTGGTTGTCCCCTCAGAGCCCATATCATCTGCCTGGCAGCGGAGTTCCTGCGGGAAGAGCCGGGGCAGCTTCTGCCCCTAGAGGGCCATTGTCCTAGGTGAGTCCAGGCCTCTCCCCAGTCAGGGTAGGTCTGGAAAGAAGGTGCCCTGTGTTTCAGGCCTGGCTAGGGAACCTCACCTTGACACTCAGGGCCTAAGTGGAGGGACCTGGGGATGCCTGACTCTGCCATCTCTACCAACTGCACCCTTTGGCAGCTGTAAGAAGTCTCTGCTCTGGGGAAGCCTGATCGGGCAGTGCCACGTGGACACCGAGGAGGAAGAGGACTTGGGATTAGAAGAGGTGAGAGCTGGCTCTGGCCCCACTCTCCCTCAGTCCTCCTAGAAGACCTCTGACCTACCCTTTTGTCCTTGCAGGAACACTGGACAGACTTGCTGGAGACCTGATCTACGTGTCCCCAGCTTTTACCCCTGGTCCTTTTCTGCCTCTCTCTTCAGAGTTTGTTAGCTTTTACTTGAGCGTAATAAAAAAAGCTGAGTTCAGGGTACCTCCTGGTGTCTTCTCGGAGAAGGGCAGGAAGGGATGAAGTGAAGTCGAGGCTCTGGACCTGACCACGTGGCCTTGCTACTCTCTTGCCTTTCTCAGAGGTAACAGTTACTGTGTTCATTTCGCTTTCCCGTGACTGTGATAAACCCTGGAACCAGCGACTTGGGGAGAAAAGAGTTTGTTTCTTATGCTTCCAGGTAACGGCCCGTCAGTGAGGAAAGTCAGGTTGGCACCTGGAGCAGACCCTGGGAGAAGGCTGCTTACCGGCTCAGTCTCTCTGATGGTGCTTTAGTGACACTCTTACACAACCCAGGACCACCTGCCTACTTGTGGCACTGTTCAAAGTGAGCTGGGCCCTCTCAGCTCAATCAACAATCAAGAAAACAGCTCCACAGACATGCCCGTAGGTCCATCTGGCTGAGGCAGTCCCCCATCGAGAATCCCTCAGGTAAGGCTGGGCTATGCCAAGCTGACAGCCAAAGCCCAGGAGGCCAGCGCCTGTGACATGGAGTCTGCGCACCTCTGTTGAGAGCACACAGGTCCTGTGCTCCCAGAGAAGCACCAGGGAAGCCAGGAATGTTACACATGCATGGTTGTCTTTTCAAGGGAAAATATGTATGTTTTCTGGCCAGAAGCCTGGGAATGGAGGTGGCTAACAGTCTGAGTAGCTCCTGTCCTCTCTGTAGAGTCACTCCATACCTGGCTCCCCCAGAACTCCCACAGCCAGGACCAGGGGTGGCTAATAGCCCAGATGACCTCTATACTATCTGTATGACTGAGATCACGACAGATCCTCCCCTTGGCTGAAGATAATGCAGCAGCCTGCCTACCGAACTCCCCTTCATGAAGTGTCAGGTACTTTGAGAAGACTTTCTGTGTAATCATGTCTCCTTGCGCATACCGGATTGTGTTACACCAGGAGACGTTCTCCAACATTGTACTGCACTTTAATATGTGCCAGACTCTTGAAGTTTGAACCCACAGCGGCTACTGAGTTGTGCTGAACCATGTATTTCCTTCTTTTCTCACACGCCATTCCTCTTTCAACCCTGATGTTTGCAGGGAGCCCTACGTGCCCTCAGAGCAAAGCTTGCTGCGAGCGCTCAATCCAGGTGTTACTGAGTCCCAACCTATACCACATCAGCTGACCACCCGTCCTCAGTAATCCAAACAGAAGAGTCAAAGTAAAAGTTCAGAGCAGAAAAGGGAAATTTATTCAGTGTGGCCATAGTGGGAAGAGGGATAAAGAGATCCAGCAAACCCCTTGAGTCCATCTTCAAGGTCCTTCAGTAAGTTTAAATAGAGGTCTGAGGATCTGCATACCCACGCAGTCCCTGTCAAGGTCTGGTCACACCCACCACTGACATCTCATCCTGTCAGGAGGTCGGACAAGGTGTCGGACTATGTGAGATCTCTTTCAAAGAGACAACTTGCCCCTCTAGCTGGGCTCCTTTCTTTTTTCCCAGCATGATATAACTGGAGGAACTTTCCATGTCTTCAGGGTCCATTGTTTCAATAGTCTAAGAGAGGG